CATCATTAGGTCTGCTCATATAATTGTGGGAAAAATCAACTATCAGTACTTCACCACCTAATGCGACCTATGATATATTTACTTCTTATTCAAGATAGCCTCGAAATCTACTTAATATGAATATGCTCAACGATACTTATTCAAAGCCTTTAATGGACTTTGTCCACAACTCTTCACGACTCCTTGTTTCTAACTCTACTAGTTGCTCTTTTGCCTTCATTTTACAGTGGGTTAATGAATATATGATTGAGCCCTATATTTCTATGTAGTGCTACTCCTAATCTCTTTTATGTTTTTTATTATTTTTACATTACCTATGTATATTATTTATAGTTTCTTATTTCCTGCCTTTTTCAAACATTAATTGCCTCTACTATTATTTCCTGTCTCGTAGAGAATTATACGGGCAAGATGTATGCATGATTATACTTCACGAAATTTTATAAAGCCCTATGAATTAGTTTGTTATTTCATAGTTCATCTTGAAGTATTTTTATCTTACAATCATTTAGTTGCATAAATTAAATAAATAGGTAACTCTCCAGAAGACAATTTTCTTTATGATCCTACAGGAGCTCGAAGTTTTAAGGTGTGATGTTCACCTCGTAGTTCAATGTTTCTTATTCCTTAGTATTTGTGGCTAAGTTTCCTTGGATTTACTGCTTAGGCATGTTTCTGTATTAATATATGTACCTTAATATATGCAATCTTATCTAACCAGCTCATCTTCTGAGCACTAGATTGGTAAGCTCAGTACTAGTACTTAATAGGACTGGGAATAAACCACATTGTGCATTGGCGTGTTGCGAAAAGTAAGCTCTTACTCAACTTTATTTGGTTAACAACGTTTCCCTATTTCATTCTCTTAAATCTCCTTTCTCATGGTCCCACTTATTACTTCTCACGATCATTTTTTGGCATCACTTGATTTTGTATTGAATTCCTGATTGACTTATCTTTTACATTTTCACTCCCTTAGTCTATAATCATTTATCTTCTTGCCCTTTTTGGAACCCATTGTCTATACCCTCGATGAAGTGTATGAAGTTATATTTTATCAATAACTCTGGAGACATTCATTTTCGATATATATATAAATCGGATTTTGAAGAATCCCTTAATAGATTGATGTCAGAGTACCTTTCATTTTGTTTAAATGGGCAATCTAAGGTGTTCTTGAGTTGGCTTCACTAGAAGCTGAAGGGGGATTTCCTCGGTGCTGTGGCTGTAGATTTGTGCGAATAAGTCCTCGGCGCACCTCCATTTTATCTCTATGAGTCCTTGCTGAACTTTCGTCCGTCGTATGACAGATATCGTCAGAGCAGGAGATCATGCTTTACGATGGTTCGCCGAAACACGAAGACAAGAAAGGCGGCCAGCTATAATCCTACCTCCTTCTAACTAGCTTAACTTTTTTCCACTACATATAAAGTTATCTAAACACAAAATAGCCTACAAGGGTTGTGGGCCCAAAAATCAGAACTACCCGAACACAGCCTACGCAGGGCACCAGATAGACGGGTATTAAGCTAAACGGTTAGCTGGGTACGGAGACTATACCAGTAAGCGGAAGATTAGGGACTCTAACGAAATCAACGAAGTGGTCAACATGCTGAATAGAAGGAATAAGTGTAGGAAATTAAGTGGATAAGAACGAGAGTGAGAGCGAGAGAACAAGAGGAGGAGGCTTAATTTGTCTAAATGTTCAAAAATATCATCAATAAGAATTTGATTATTAATCCTACTGTTTATAAGATAAGTAATGCTTTAGAGACCACTTATGCTCAGAATCGACATGTATACGAGATCGAATAGACGAAACTTAGGACAGCGCGATGAGCATTACGGTCTAATGAATTGCTATTTATGATAATTTACTGGAAGAGATTACTCTGTCTCATTGCTTCTCCCAAGGCCTGTTTACGAATGCGTATTAGGTCCATTCTAGATCGCCCAATATTGTGGCAACATTCAACTTTAGGCGGAATGGTTAAGATCTTTTTCATTTTAGCTTGATTGTAGCAAACCGTTCGCCTTTCATAGATAGCAGCATGATGCTCTTGTATTTGTTGTTCTAGAAATTTGATTATTCATTCATAAGCCTTACTCAATTTTCTAAAATTATTACTTTTATAAAGAATTACCACTTTCGAGTCGGCGGTTTCTCCAGATCTTTGAAGTCACCTAAATAGGTTGGACTTGCTTAAAAGTATCTTAAAACTCTACGCTTGGCAGTTATTCATTTTCTTAATGGCCCTATTGATTTTCCTGATCTCATGTTCCTCTTCCAGAATCTTTACTAAGAGCACCAACAGTGAGTCACTTTGATGATGCTATCATCGGCCTTCAGAATACCTGGGACGCTCCTTTGCAGATATCCACTGATAAGCAGTTACAGCTTGCATCCTCTGCCACCGCTCCTTCCTTTTCAACTGCAGTATCTCCCTCACATCATTTGCACAACTCTCGTATCTCGCATATTTCGAGCGAGGATAAACTTGATGAAGTCTGCCCACCTGGCGATGTTCCTTTACCTGAAACGGCTCATTTTGATGCAAACGGTTCTGGCGATGGAAGTTCCAGTAGTACAAACTGGAGCTACTGCATACCGATTGCAATTTATGCTCGACTTACAGATCCAGAAGTCAGTCGGATTGTTTTCCGGTGGGCCAAATGAGTTTTGCAATATTAGCAAACAATGTTTTATGACTTTTATTATCAATACACTTTTGAATCCCATAAAATTGAATTTATCCTATTAAAAGCCCATATCTAATATTAACCTCAAATTACTCAAAAGTATTCCACTTAGCTAAAATTATGTTTAGCTTTCAAGCTCTGGTTAGATAGTATGATTGCAATAAGGAAGCTTATTCTGCGTTTGTTTGATAGAGTTAAAAGAGGGTGGAGAAAGATTAAGATAAAGTGCGTTATCTAAACAATTTGTAAATCTTGAGTTATACTTCTAGACACTAGGTCAATTAAGCAAATAAAAGAATAATAGTTCAATTTTATCTCCATTATATGAGTTTCCTTCACCATTTCACTGAATTTCACTTATTCGTGCTTCCTAAAGGTGTTCTTATCTAGAGTAGACTATGGTCTCGGCCTCGCCTAGGTCTTATCGACAACCCTAGCGGGGATTTTACTCGGGTTGGGCACCATAGATTATCACTACGCCTATTGCCACGAGTGCTCGTAGATCACAACACGTGACACGTGATATAGTCGATTTCAAAAAAAGGACACTAATTTCCTTTATTGATAATCACAACAAAATATGTCATTGGAGAAGCCTGACCTTCCCTCATAGTTACATCAACCCTGTAACCCAGGAACACTTTTGGCATTATGGCACATGTCGAGATTCTACACTAAACTCGATGTGACTAACTTTTGGGAAACAAGGCTTAGGGCTTTTCGTTGGAGGCCTGAGGTCTACTCATATGAGTGTAGGAAAATTGAAATGTCAGTCCTTATCGCCCTATGCTTCCTAGTGTGAATACATCTTTTATCCTAGATTTACTAGTAGTCATTCGGAAACTTGTTTTTTGCCATTACAATATACTATCAGTTCTGGCCATCCTATGCCTCATAAGATAATGCAAGACTGATAGTTTAATTTTTTCAAAATAATATGGATCTACTTTACTTTACCACCAAATTTCACATAGACTTGTCTCAAAAATGCATTCTTACCGAGAATGGACTTTAATTTCAATCTCTCCTGGGTTTTTATCAGCATCCTTAGCGGGAAACGAGGTTATACACTGTACCACCCTCGTTCTATTCCCGCTGGGAAAGTCTTAACCGCAGTCCACTCTGGATGGAACTATCTTTTGAGAGGCAAAGTAAAGTGAAATTCACTAGCGTCATGAGGCCACTTATATTACTGTGGAAAACATTGGACTGACATGGACAGAACTTTTATCAAGTTTTGGCGTACAATCTATGTACACAAACATCGCAGGCGAGAAAGCGGCGATCACTTTGTTGGATATCTTTGAACGATAGGAGGGTATCCTGGAAGCAGAACGGATAGGGAAGGAGTAGGCAGCATAACTGATTAACCTGGCATTAATGACCGCATATTTTACCATTAATGGTAATATCTGTAAGCAAATATTTGGATGACTTATGGGATTTTTATTCTCATCTCTTCTGGCAAATGTATGTATGGACAGATTGGAAAAAGGAATTAAAGAAGTCATTACTGTAACCAATACTGTCTACACTCTGCCTTGCTGATTACTTTGCATTTTGGTCGACTGGTTAGGAAAATTTGGTTGAATTCCTTAACTTAATGAACCAACTTGATGGAAGAATTATATTTACAGTAGAGGTAGAGAAGTATGAGCGAATTCCTGTTCTAGATATTAAGGTTATTAGCTCAAACTGGATACTTAACAGGAGACTATTCATAAAGAAATTAAATGCGGAAAAAATCTTCAATTTCCACTTTAATCATGACTACAGACTAAGGATCATAATAACAAGGAGTTTTTTCATAATAAGCTTAAGACTAACGGACATGGAGTTCTGGGACGAAGAGTTGGACAACCTGACTCGAATTTTCTTTAGTAACGGGTACCCAAGTACAATCCTATAGAGAAATAGAGGGGTCATAAAGAGCAAATGGCATCTAGGATATTATGAAGATAAAATCAGGAAACAGGACAACCCAAAGTGAGTATGCCTGCCTTTCTGTGAACTGAGTCGAAAATTATGACCGTTACTAAGAAAATAGAATATCCAGGTGATAACGATTAAATAGGCTACACTCTTCAGCCTGCCGACGCAACACGAGAAAGTTGACAAACTGGATTGCTCAGGAGTTTATCACATCAAATGCGGCAACTGTGAGTAGAAATGAATTGGGGAAACAGAAATAAAAATCAGCTTATGAATCAAGGAACACCAAGAACGCTGCAGAAACGTGGAAAAGGAGATATCCAGAATAGCTGAACAAATTGCTCGGACGGGACATTAAATCGACTGGGGAGCTGGCATAACCATAGACGAGTTCAATGGCTGGGCTAGCTATGAAGAATCGTATCTTCTTTGATTCTGTGACATCATCCAAATAACCTAATACAACATTTTAGTGTTACTTTAAAACTAATCAATCTATATCATAGTTTTATATTTTTTTAAATTTATTTTTTTATTCTGCTTGCACCTCATAACTCTTTTTCTAGCCGCAACCTTCGTCACTGCTTTACCAATGATGCTGTTCTACTCGCAAATTTACAGCCCCCAGTTCCACGTGGTCTCATTAACTTTCTGGTCGCATTTGCTGCCACAATTTCGCCTCATGACGTGGCAGGAGTGTCGAATTTCACTATATTCAGGGGCCTCATCGAATGTCTGCAAGACAGACAAGTTCAGCGTAGCCTAACGCGTCGTGGAGAGGTGCCCTGTTATAGCACACCCTCGGTAATTTTGAATTAAAACAACAACTTTCTACTTGCAAGCTAAATAGCTTGCAAAGTGGCTGATTTATGAATGAATGGAAGATCTTTGGCGTCTATTTATTCTGTCAATATGCTTAGAGGAATGCTCATTAAGTCTAATGCGATATTTTTATTTTGTTTTAGCCTCACAAAAATAAGATCCAAATTCTTTATAGGTGTCTTTAAAAATTCTGTTATCGTGTTAAGGCTTATTTCTAAACATTATCTCTCTCACACAAAGAACAACAGCCGATTATTTTTAGCTTATAATTACCGTTTCTAGACTACCAGTAAGTCAGTTATATGAGATGTAACTATAGTTATTAACGAAAAATTAGTAATGTAGTCGAGTGTCATAGCAAATATAACTTTGCTTCATCGACAATCCCACCAAAGAATGCGATATGGGAAAGTTTCTGTCCTTCCTTGAAATTCACTTCTGCCTTGTGTTCCAAGGGCACTCGTGGTAGTGTGGCGTAGTGGTTAACGTGTCACTGTCATGGCTAGACTCCCGCTAAGGGTGCTTATAGGACTTAGACGAGGCTGAAATTTTACTCCACTCTAGCTGGAATGAGAACACCTTTTGTGAAAGTAAGGATATGTGAAATTCACTGGACACGTCAGCTTTACTCATATGAGTGTGGGAAAACTCAACTACCAATCCTTCATCACCTCCAGCGAAATACGGCGAATACATATCATATAAAAGTTGATTATAAAAATGGATATATTTATTTGAAGGTATGAAGACCAAGATGGTGTGGCCTTTTGTGTCTA